AAAACCCCCCCAACCCTTCTTTTCCCACCGATGTGGGACAAAATGTTTTGTCAAATTCAACAACATGATGTACAAATAATACTCCTATTTTATGACCAAAAACGTTGTGAGATAGAAAATTAAAATGATACAAATTAAAAAACTGTTAAAACAAAATTATTTTGGCCTTGTGTCTATAAATTAAAATACAGTAAGACAAGAGTACTGTAAACCATCTCATTAGCAGTCATGGCAATTGTTTCCATAGAAGGTCAACTATATATCTTTTGCTTTTCTTCATCTGTTTAGTATTTCAATCCTACATCAAGAAGCAGCGCCAACGATCACATAATAAAATCCAGCTTCCTCCAAGCCCACCAGCATTACCAATCATAGGCCATTTGCATCTTCTTGGTTCTCTTTGGCATCAGTCCTTCCAGAAATTAGCACTGTGCTATGGTCCATTCATGTTGATTTGCGCGGGTGCATCGACTTCCTATGTTGTGTCAAATGGTACCATAGCAAAAGAAGTGTTTAAAACCAATGACATCAATTTTGCTGCTAGGCCTGAATTTGGCTCTTCAGATTACCAAATTTACCATGACACCATGTTCACTATTTTGGACTACAACAAGCTCTGGATTTTCTTGAAGAAAATATGCATGACAGAAATTCTGTCAAATTTGCTGATGTTAGGAAAGAGGAGATGATGAAACTGTTGGAATTTTTCGTCAATTGTCGGGACAAGGGGAGGCTTGTGATGTTGGAATTCAGCTTATGGCCATGACAAATAATCTTATTTGCAGGCTGAGCATGAGTACAAAGAACATCAACTAATGTCAACGAGAGCACGGATATAAGAGAAATTGCAAAGGGGATAGTATTACTTGCAGGGCAGTTGGGGTTAGGTGAAGTTTTTGGTCCTTTGAAGAAATATGATGTGCTTGGGGCTGGAAAAAAGGCAAAAGCTTTGTTGCTTAAGTTTGATAAGTTCATGGATGGATCATAAAGAAACACGAAGACAAAATGAAAGTAGGATGTGTATGTGGGGGGGGGGGACATGAAGACAAAATGAAAGTACAGGGGGTGAATTGTTACTGATTTAAAAATCTTAGTTGACTAAGTATGAGTTTAGTCGACTAGACTTTGCGCAACGATTGATTTCAGTCAAAATAAACTAAATGAGCAGAAAGATAAAAAAGACACAACAATTTTTATACTGGTTCAGTACCGGTGTGGTACCTGTATCTAGTTCCCTAGGGTCACAAGAGTTCTCTTAGATCTTTGATAAATGTTTACAACATCGATGGTTTTAGTTCGTTCACCACCAACGATATACAAAAATAGTAATTCTTTCCAATATTGACACAACACTCATTTTGTGTTCTAATTCTTCCTATCTTTTGTGACACTTGTAAACTCAAGAATACAATGTTTGTACTAAGAATAAGAAAGGCTTAGAAACAGATGATGTAGTTACGTGATCGAATTCTTGAGTTGGCCAATCTTCTTATAGGAGTGTTTTGAGTAGCCGTTGCAGATTTACCCTTGATTGAGGCACAAAATATTCTAAGAGATTTGACCCAAGGGGTGTCTCCGAATCTTGCACAAGGGATGGGGTGGATTCGTTTACGTCCTTCCTTTTCATATCCATAATCAAGGGAGTGATTTATGGCTTGACTTGATCGAGCAATCTTCAGTATCTCCAAATTCCAAATCAATCCTTGAAGTAGGGCCTGATTTCCTTTAGCGGCTGCACTTGATTTGTTTCCTTTTTGATAGCCTCGACGTCCTTTGATTTAGCATTGTTCTAACTTCCTTTAGTGCATGTGCTTGATTTTGTTTCCTTTTTGATGGCCTTGACGTCCTTTGATTTAGCATTGTTCTTGTGGCATTTGATCTTGTTTCCTTTCTGATGCCCTTACCAAAAGAACTTCCTTTAAAGTAGTATTATCCTCCTAATTTCCTGCAATTAATTGGATTAAATGGATACAGTTAGATTTGCACTATTGTCATCATTGAAACTTAGGTGTAACAATCTCCTCTTTTTTGATGATGATAATCAAAAAGACTAAACAGAATGGTTGGCTTAAACAGGTTGGTTGAGGATTCAGACATCCAAAATCTTCCTTATCTTTAGGCTGTTGTCAAGGAAACACTAAGGGGTCGTTTGGTATGAGGTATAAGTAAAAATAGTACTCGTATAAAATTTAATACCACCTTATACCTTGTTTGGTTACCAAATCTGGTATAAGTTATCCCGGAATAACTTATACCTCTTAAGAGGTGAGATAATTAATGCTGGGATTATTATCCCCCGACAAAATAGCGAAATTCACCAAAATAGCCCTAAGGTCCTCAAACCCTTTTCTACATCACTTTTTCCATTCCTTACCCAATATTGGTAAAGCAATGCCGCTACAAATTACTCTGCTCTTGGGGAAGATTTCTTCTCTTCTTTGGATGCAGAAGCTATGTTGTAGTGATTGAAGAACAACTCTGATATTATCTTCCATTTTGCTTTTCCCACAAGGTTAAAACTTCTATCAAATTCTATTTTTCTTATTCTTTCTTGTTATCATTTATAAGTTCCCTGTTGCATAATTTGGGTATAGTCCTCTTCTCTACCAAAATAGTAAAAATCTGAAACAATTAAAATCAGTAGTATTATACATGGCAATTAGCTATCTTTCATATGAAGGAAACAGGGATTAAAGTAAGGAAGAAGATTTAGAAGAAAAAATCAACAGATATATTTCAAATAATTGAAAACTAGAGCCTCAAAAAGTTATTTAATACTTGTTGATGTAAGAATTGGCAATTGCCGTATGTCAATTGGATAAAGGAGCAAGAAGATGGAGGCTAAATAAGATGGAGGGTATTTTTGTAAACAAAAAACTTCCTTTTAAAAATTATGCAATGCATGTTATTTTTAATACAACATACCAAAAAGTAGATAAAAAATAATACGGGAATAACTAATCCCAACATAACTTATCCCAACATAACTTATCTTAGCATAAGAGATTTTCAAACCAAACGCCCCTAAGAGTGCATCCCCCATTGCCCTTAGTGTTCCGAAAATGTAGAGAAGATTGTGTGGTCAATGGTTACAAAATACCTAAAAATTCTTAGACTTTTGCTAAACATTTATGCAATTAATAGGGACCCCAATGTATTAGTTAAAAATAGACTCGCCATGTGAGTCTATTAAATGGCGACACGTGTTAGCAAAGTTATGAGAAAAGTAAAGAATGATATGTAAAGATGATATATAAAGCACCTACGGGGTCGAACATACTCGTACTGTGCCTGTTAGTCTCAGAATTGATCATCATAGAATAGCCCCGGATCATGTACGGGAGAATAGGCTCCTCGTCATGGACCTTGAGATCACGAGGAAGAGGGCGATGTATAAACAACATAGGATTAAGTTGGGAGCCTTGACAGAAGCTAAAGCACAGGAGTTGGGGGTCAAGTTGGTGACTATGAGGGCTTGGAGGAGTAATGGAGATGCAAGCTCTACATGGACCACGATTGTGCAATGCATTAGGGAAGCCGCGAAAGAGGTATTAGGGGTCTCAAAGGGTTACTCTGGTGGTCACAAGAGAGACTGGTGGTGGAATGGAGATGTGCAAGGAAAAGTAGAAACCAAGAAAGCAGCGTATTTGAAACCAGTGGAGAGTGTAAACGAGTAGGAGAAGAGGGCGAATAGGGAGCATTATAAGTTGGTTAAGAAAGAGGCAAAACAAGCAGCTACGGCGGCCAAGACTACAACTTTAAGTCGTTTGTATGAGGAACTCTAGGGACGAGGTGGGGATAAGAGGTTGTTTAGGTTAGCCAACGCATGAGAAAGGAAGGCGCGTGACTTTGACCAAGTAAAGTGCATCAAGGACGAATAAGGTAGAGTTTTGTTGGATGAGGGGCTTATCCGTCGAAGATGGCATACCTACTTCCATAGTCTCTTGAACGAGGAGGGGACATGAGCATTGTACTGGGTGATTTGGAACTCTCTGGGAGTTGTTGTGACTTTGAGTATTGTAGGTGGATTAGAGTTGATGAAGTTGAGGAGGCTATGCGTAAGATGAGCAAGAGCAAAACGACCAGGCCGGATGAAATCTCGGTGGAGTTTGGGAGTGCGGGCAAGGCAGGCTTGGAATAGCTCACTAGGTTATTTAATGTCATTTTAGAGCGACGAAGATGCCCGAAGAGTGGAGGTAGAGCACGATGGTTCCTATATACAAGAACAAGGTTGATATCCAAAATTGTAATAACTATCGGGGTATCAAGCTGCCTAGCCATACTATGAAAGTCTGGGAGAGAGTGGTAGAGCTAAGGATGAGGAGAAGTGTGTTTATTTTAGAGAACCAGTTTGGGTTTATGCCGGGGCGTTCGACAACAGAAGCCATCCACTTTGTTAGGAGATTGATGGAGCAGTATAGGGAGAGAAAGAAGGACTTACATATATGTCACACCTCCTTTTTACACACCCGAGGGGGTAATATAAGGGAGTTTTTCCAATTTAACTGACATTATTCGAAATGGGATTATTTATTTATCAGAGTCACCACTTAGGATAGTTTATTTGGTGTCCCAAGTCACCGGTTTATTTTAAAATCTCAAATCGAGGAAATTCGACTTTTATTTTAAAGTCTGTGAACCAGAAATTTTAGATAAGGAATTCTGTTAACCCAGGAGGTGTTAGGCATTCTCGGGTTCCGTGGTTCTAGCACGGTCGCTTAAACTATTAATATTGGCCTATTATCTGATTTACTATATGTTTTAAACCTATTATGTATTTTTAACTTTATAACCACATTTTAATTATTTTAAACCGCTTTTAAGATTTATGGATTTATTTCTTTTTTGAACAAGTTATGATTGTCGTACGCTTGTTTGTTTTGAAATACGACGCAAATTACGCTACATGAAATGCACCCGCGATTCGCGATATATTTATTTATTATTGTTGAGAAATCGAAATTACGTCACATGAAATGTACACCCGGATTTTAGTAGTTAAAAATCACAACTACATTATGAGAATCGTACCCGTAACTATGATGAATTATTTAAATAACCCTCCCAAAGCAACTACGAAGATTCAATTTTCAATAGCAACATTTGTGAGGGCCATGGATGATTTAATTGACGGTACACCTCAATTTTTACAAGGATTGAATTAATTTCATGAGGGCCATGGGTTATTAAAGGGAAAATGGCACACCTCAAATGTTCTACAAAAATTAACTAATTATATGAGGGCCATAGCTTAAGGGTTTTGTTGGCATGACACGCCTCAAATTATTCCAAAGGGTTTTATTATTCGAAATTGTTATAATCGTGTTACATGAAATGCATCCCTGAATTTTGGAATTAGGAATCATAACTATGTCACGGGAACCGTACCCATAGTCACAATGATTTATTATTAATCGCGCCTAAAGCAAGCTACGGGGTTTATAATTAGTTCTTTCTAAGTTTGAGATTATTGTAAAGTTTAAGAATTATAGAAATTGCAACATGGTAGAAAAAATGTATAATTCGTTACTTGGCTTAGAGTTTTAACACTAATTGCATTCAGTTATCGGAGTCCATGTTAATTAACAAATCAGTCCATGGTCAATTGAATTGCAAATTATAAAAAAGTCAGTAGCTCTCATGTTCTAACTACAATGTAACAGAATCTTGAAGATAATACTCGAACTTCAAATCCCATTTCAAGGAGACAAATAATATTTATATTTTAACAAACCCAAACACACTAATCTATATCACAAAAATTTCACTCCTTCCACGTGTATAAAAATCTGTTGTTATGACCTTGAATATTTTATAAAATCAAAAACCAAACTTCAAATAAGATTCTATTTGGCATCAACTTGGTAGACAAGTCACATTATAAGTAAAAAAAAATAAATTAAAAGGTAGGTCACATGTAGACAAGAGTAAATCTATTCATTTTTGTACTGTTAACAGAAAACTCAACTAAGCAACATAAGTAATTGACTTCAAATTCAGAATTATCTGAATATGCAGAGGACATTTGAACGGATGCGTAAATAACTTAATTGAAAACAGATAAAACACATAACCCCCACCCCTCCAAATTTCGTTCCAGACTTAGAAAACGTGAATAAGTGAAATAAATGCAAATGTCATAGCAACATGAGAAACGGACTAGGAAATAGTCACATGTTCAAATAATAACAAGTGAATAGGCTAAAAAAGACATCTAGAATTACATATCCAAAACTAGATCTGAAGGCATTTTAAGGAATACATACCTAGCAGCACAAGGTTCAAATTTAGAAAAGGGAAAAGAGCCAAGTAAATGCCGACATCAGAAATCAGAGCTCAGCAGCCAGCACTACCTAAATCAGTAAACAAACAACTCCGCTACAGCTTCAAACAACCTTGAGAATCCCCGAAAAACTACGAGGACATGAAATTGAAGCGTTGAATCAAGCTATATGATTTTACTTCACAATTTGATTATTTCTTTCTAAAAAAATTTGGAGCTTAGTCACGGAAAATGCTAAAGTTCTTTTAGTAGCTCTCTTAGGCATGTTCTTTTCTGAGAATGAGGTGAGAAATGGGGAAAGCTGCACTGATTTCTTTCTCTCCTCTCTCTTGCGCCGCTGTCCCTATTTTTGAGGAGAGAGTCCGATCCTTTTTTTGTCCAGGAGAGGATCCCCTTTATTAGGTCCTTTTATTTGCTTAGGTCTAGGTTTTAATTAAAGGGTAGGGGTTTTGGGTAGGTTAGGAAAATTTGGGCCTAATTTGGGTGCAAGAACTAGTCCAATATCTGATTAAATCTTTTCTTCAATTTCTTTCTTTTATTTTCTATTTTTTCCTTTTCTTTTGATTAAAAATCCTACAAAATAAAAATCCTAAATTATCCAAAAGTGTGAAATTAAACTAATTAACTATTTACAAAAATTATAAAATCTACTTAATCCTAAACTAAAAGAGAAAAGTCAATAACCTAAAAATAAAAAGCAAAAGTGTAAAAATGAAGCATTTTTTGTGATTTTCATTTTATAAAACAAATAATTACCGATTAATCCTAAAAATATAAAAAACAAATCTAAATGTAATGCATGGTATTTTTGGCATTTTTCATGATTTTTAATAAAATTAAATGTGCATAGAAAATATAAATAATTAATAAAATTTCACAAAAATTCCTAAAAGTGGCAAATAATTAGGAAAAAATCTATTTTCTTGGGATTCTATAGGAGTATTTCATATAGGGCAAAAATTACGTGCTCACAATATGGTGTTCATCGACTTAGAAAAGACGTATGATAAAGTTCCGAGGGAGGTTTTGTGGAGATGTTTGGAGGCTAGAGGTGTACCTGTTATCTAGGTTAGGTTGATTAAGGACATGTATAATGGGTTAAAGACCCGAGTGAGGACGGTGGGTGGGGACTCGGACCATTTTCCGGTTATGATGGAGTTGCATCAGGGGTCGGCACTCAGCCCTTTTTTGTTTGCTCTGGCGATGGACGTACTAACGTGCCACATCCAATGAGAGGTGCCGTGGTGCATGCTATTTGAATATAATATTGTATTGATTGACGAGACACGATACAGTGTCAACGCGCAATTAGAGATATAGAGGCAGACCCTGGAATCTAAAGGTTTTGAGTTGAGCAAGACCAAGACAGAATACTTGGAGTGTAAGTTCAGTGGCGAGACTCAAAAAGGGGAAGGGGAGGTGAGGCTAGATTCGCAGGTCATTCCTAGGAGAGGAAGTTTTAAGTACCTTGGGTCTATTATTTAGGGGGATATGGAGATTGATGAAGATGTTACATATCGTATTGGAGCGGGATTGATGAAATGGAGACTCACTTCCGGTTTTTTTGTGTGACAAAAAGGTGCAACCAAAACTTAAGGGTAAGTTCTATAGAGTGGTGGTCAGACCAACGATGTTGTATGGGACTGAGTGTCGGCCAATCAAGATTACTCATGTCTAGAAGATGAGGATGTTGAGATGGATGTGCGGGCACACCAGGTTATATAGGATCAGAAATGAGGTTATTTGCGACAAAGTAGGTGTGACCCCTATTGTGGACAAGATGTGGGAAGTGCGGCTTAGGTGGTTTGGTCATGTAAGGAGAAGAAGCACAAAAGCCCCGGCGAGAAGGTTGAGAGGTTGACAATGGAGGGCCTACGGAGAGGTAGAGGTAGGCCAAAGAAGAGGTGGAGAGAGGTGATTAGGCAAGACATGACACAACTTCAGCTGACCGAGGACATGACCCTTGATAGGAAGGTACGGAGGTCGAGGATTAGGGTAGTAGAGTAGGTAGTCTAGAGTGTTCATAACAGTAGTATTGGCATGCAGTCTCGCTTTATATTAGTAGTAGGTTTTTATGACTAACCGTTGTTTTCTTTCATTATTGATCGCCTTAATATCTTGTTGTTTTTATTTTGCATTTATATGGATTTTTGGTACTGTCTCTTGTCTATATTTTCATTAATGTGGTGCATATATTTTTCCGAGCCAATGGTCTATTGAAAATAACTTCTCTATCCTCACAAATTAGGGGTAAGGTCTGCGTACATTACCCTCCCCAGATCCCACAATATAGAATAATACTGAGTATATTGTTGTTGTTGCATGTACGGGAGAATAGCTCATTCATTCATTCATTCATTCATTCTTTCTTTCTTTCTTTCTATTCTTTCTTGGCCCATTCTTATTGTAAAATTTCCTATATGTATTGTCAATGAAATTATGGATACATTTCTTTTGTGATACACATACAACTTCCAGCTCTCGATTCTCCATGTCTTGGTTCTAGTGTTGTCTCTTTAGATTGTACAATAGTACTGGCAAAATAAGCTTTAATTTCCTCAGAAAATTTCTACCAAAAGCAAGTCTTTTTCTTTTACGATTTTTGAATTCAACTTAAATTATTCTGACTGAGTAAAAGCTATGAAAATATAATTAGGCAATTGAATTTTTTTCTTCAAGGCTTGGGAAGAGAGAAAAATTTATAATAATTATCAGGACAATCATTAATATTTATTAAGAAAACCAAAATTATAATACAATTTATAATACAAAATTATTAAACAATGTCGTTCGCCTTTTTTACCCTTTGTAAATACAATTTATATTGGATAAATTCGTAATTATAATACAAATAGGTATTTCGAGAAAACCAAAATTAAATTGCCCAACAATTTATGTCACTTTAGGTTTTAGCATTATATTTTTCTACCGTAATTAGTGTCATTTTAGATTAGGATTCTTTAACCAGAATTACCGAGCAATTAATGTTAGTCTGGATTTAGTTTCTTTTATCATAATTAAAGCCACTTTTTGGTCTTCTAGAATTCTAAACCAAAAGTAAATAAGGAACAACAATTAATGACACTAGGTTTAGTATTCTTTTTGTACTTATAATAATTTTCGTAGGTTACAAAGTTTTTTTGTTGTCTAGAATTTTAAACCAAAACGAAATCAGAAGCAGCATTTATTTTTGCTTTAGGCTTGGTATTCTTTTACCAAAATCGAACAAGAAATCAATTAATGTTAGTTTAGGTTTAGTCTTCTTTTACTAAAATTGCCTAAGGATACAAACACAGAAAAAGGTTAGGTTTTCTACAATTTTAAAATCATAACGAGCTAAACACTTCTATAAAAGGAGCCAGTATTTCATATTTTTTTATCATAAAGTCTTGATAACGTGGACTTGTGTGGAGGTAATTTTTTGTGCTTTTTAGTTTTGATTTTTATTTATGATATTCCATGTACCAATATCACTTTAAAATTATCTTCAGTAAATAGTTGTTTACCCATTTTCATTGAAGCTTAATTAAAAATCTGTAATGTATGTCTTTATGTTGTGTGTTGCACAAACTTATTGGGTTAAACCTACATGAATAGTCAAGTTTTTATTTTTCTTTATACCTAATTTTTAGGTTTTTTCCTCTTTTCTTAATGTTTTTTGTAACTGAATGAGCGGTATTGATATCTATTTGATCTGAAATAGTATTTATTAATGCACGTCTTTCTGTTGGGTGTTGAACAAATTTTTTTGGTTAAACCTACATGAGTAGTCAACTTTTTATTTTTCTTCCTGGTTTTTCAGTTTCTTCCTCTTTTGTTAATATTTTTTTTGTATTTGAATGAGAGGTACTGATATCTATTTGATCTGAAATAGTATTTGCTAAATAATTAAATATATAAAAATATAAAAAATTATCATTTATTGAAATAATTAAAAAATAATGACAATTCGTTAAGAACAGATTTTGTCTATAAGTTAGAATATGTTTTTTTATTAAAATTAGGACACAAAGCATGACATCTTTCTTTTTTCATTGGTCAACGACGAAAATTGCATCTTGCTGAACTTTAAGTTTTCTTTTTCTCATAAAAGGAAATATTTTATTTCGGCTCTTCATGCTTATGGAATGCGTGAGCCCTATATATTATGACTTGTTGCATAGAAGTTCAAACACAGAAGGATTTAATATGCAAAATTTTTGTTGACTTTAAATTTTTATTTTTTAGAGAAATAATTTAATAATTATTTTATCTAATGTGAAAGCTATTTTAAAGGGTGAAATAAATCGATTTCAATGGAAAAAGTTATAATTTAATTATTTTTTAATATTTAGGGATTTAAAATCAACTAAAATTTTAATTATTAAATTTTCCTTAATTATTTGAATTATGTTGAAAGTCCTAATATTTAGGACTTTAAAATCGATTAAATTTTAGTTTATATAATTTTTCTTCTTCTTTTATTTGTGTTCTTTATTTGAAACCACTTTTTTGTATTAGTAATTCTTATTCTGTGATAGACAATTCAAGACTCCTCTTGGTGATGACCATGCGCATATAGATATGTTGGATACGAAGATAGATGCGTTGGATATGAAGTCAAATACTCTATAACCTACAGGTAAATAAAATTAGATAATATATACTTTAATAATTTTTTAGAAGAGATATATTACTCCCTTGAGTATAAAATAAGTTTGGAAAGAATTACTTCAGCAAATAAAACCAAATGTGACAACTTTCTTAATATTAGTATAATATATGTTATATTCTTTCATAATAAACTTTATAATTCATCTGTGATTTTAAATCACATTTTGTAATCTTTTATAGCATGAATATTATTTTAGAGATATAGATTTTTTTTTGTAAATTAGGGAATCACTCCTCCGAGAAACATGCATGGGGTTTGAACCTAGGACCTTTCATTTGGGGATTTCCTGCCCAATCAACTTGGCCACCCATGAGGGTATGGTCTGATTATCACTTTTTATATGTATAATGCACCAGTGACCACATTTTACGAGTAAATGATCAAATATTTCACTTGAAAAAGAGATAAGAAAAATAGTTATTTTAGAAAAAGTTAATTAACGTTGAAAAGTTAAATCATTAGAAGTATAAAAATAAATATACTTAGAGGAGGAAAAATAACACTTGAAGAGGGAGATAAAGTACTAAGTAATTAATAAGAAAAGAAAACTTTATCATAATTTATTCGCTCATTTGAATAACCTTAACCAAATAAAAAAAAGCATATAATTTTAAAAATATTTTACCAAGGATAATCATACATACTATATATGATATATTTAACACTTAATGCTTGGAATAGTATTTTTTACACCAAGAACGCTCTTTATAAAGAGATGTTAGATC